AGACAGCAGTCTTAACGATTAAGGATAAAATCCCTCATTTTGAAAATGTCATAAAAACACCATGTGCACACACTGCTGGTTCCAAGTTGGAAGGGGCTTGTGCATGGAGGGGCCCAGACGCTCAGCTCATTTGCTTCGCCAGGAGCTCTCCTTTGCTGCTGACCTGGGACCAGCCACAGTGGCCACCAGGATGGGATGAGCTGGGTCGGGTCTAGGTACCAAGTGTACCCCTGAGCCGGAGTGGGGACGAGCCCCCGTAAACCACATGGATTGAAATGGGGGTGCCGAGGCCCACCAGAGGAAGTCCATACGCTGTGATCGGAAGGAGAATGGTTGCAGAACAGGCAGGAACAGGTGTCGCTGGTGTGACAGGGTGCAGAGAGTGGCCCAGGAGTCAGGAAAGTAGGATTTTAGTTCTGTTTCTACACCTTCTGGGTCCAGATCCTAGTTCGGCTGCTCTTGCTTCATTTTGATGTTGACGTTGACTCCACATAGTGTGACAGGCCCTGTGCTATGTACTGAGGCCACGGGAGGATCGGTTAACTGAGTAATGGTGATAAGGGTGTAGCACGGCTCCCCAGTCCCGGGGCCTGCGGGCATGCTTCTCGGAGGTGGGGAGGCTTAAGCCGAAGACCTGAAGGATGAGCAGGAGTTAGAGAGACAGAGTGCTCATGGCAGGGGTCACGCATGAGGGCATGGCAGGGTCAAAAGGTGAAAGGCAGTTCCGGTGGAGGGACGGGCTGAGGGGCCCGAGTGGGCAGATCCTTTTCAGAAGGAAATGGCCTGATCGAGTTTGCTTTTTAAGCTCACTCTCTTCTTTTGTCAAATGCAGACAGTAGCACGCTCTGCGTGGCGTTATTGAGGGGTGTTAAAGAAACAGTGTATGTTCTTACCCACTTTACTGGTGTCCCCAGTGCAGTCCACAGCGGTGGAGATCTGTGCATCTCCGGGACCCCCGCTCCCCAGGGAGAGCCTCCTGCACAGAATGCAAGAAACCATTTGGCCTGGAATGTACACACGATACCTTTCTCTTTTTACGCACAGCAGATTACCCCACCTAATTATATTTGGCATAGGCTAATATTAAAATTCATCTGCCTTTCCTCTGACAGCTGCTGTCGGGGGTTGGGGAGTCAGAAACATCCTGGCAAGCCACCCCGAGACGAAAATATTTGCGGCAGATAATCTGTACGTGGACCATTGAGAAAGGACAGTGGATGTGTTAGGGCGAGTGTCCAAACTCCAGCAAGGAAGCGCTGGCCTGTGTTAAATCTGACACTGTGTTAACCGAGTGCGAGCCAGGTAACTGGCCGAGACAGATGTCTGCAGTGCCTTGGAGTGTTATGGTCATTTCTGGTCTTTGGTGGGGCTGATTTAGTTATAACCCTGTTTCAAATTTGTCTCTTCTTCCAAAGTTTAATATCAGCCAGACCTTTCTGGATTGTGTTAAAGTAAGCGGGTATCCGCTGGTACCATTCAGGGTATGGATTTTAGCCTAAGTACGGGATTCAGGTGTAACCTACCCCTTTTCAACCATCCCCTTCCCCAGGCTCAGCCAAGCTGGAATCTGTGGTGTGCTTGTTTCGTGGCCTTCCTCGTGTCTACCGTGTCCACCTGTGGGATTTGGTGCCGTTAGCACACCATGGTGGGCAGCCTGCTCTGTGCACGTATGGCACATGCCATCCACTGTGGGCAGATCTGGGCCAGTAGCCAGCAGGGCCTCAGCCCTCAGGAAACTGGCATCGTGGCTGTGTGGACGTGGCCGGCCCCCGTGAAGCCATCAGAAGATCCCAGCTAGGACTGCACAGAATAAAGTGCTAGCTGATGGAATGAGTTTAGACAGCACTCTGCTAGCAACAAATATGTTTGTGGAAATTAGAAAAAGGGGCCCCTCCTCAAGACACCTTTCGCCATCTGTCCAAAAAATGTCATAGGCAATCCTAAATGTACACTGCCGAACACAGGCAAGGCACGGCGCCTCCTAGAGCTGTACCGGTGTACAGCCTGCTTCTCACAGCCAGCCTCCCAGTGACCCCAAATGACTCCGCCCAAGCCCGGGGAGCAGAGCCCTGAGGTGCTCATCCTGCCTAGGAGGGTGGCGTGCGGGCCGACGAGTCTGTTTTATTTCACAGCCCTTCTTCTTCTCGAGCTGTCTGGGTGGCGCCAGCTGTCAACGGCCCGTGCTGGGTCTGCTATGCCATCCTGCTCCCCGGGTCACTGCTATTTGCCAGGGTAAACAGTCCCAAGAAAGTGGCCATGGCTCTCCCAGCCTGCTGACCCAAATGAGCCCGGGTGCCTCCTCCCACGGGGCCCCTGGGTGGGGTGGGGGATGGGAGTCGAGACCAGGATCAAAGTTGCCACATTCAGGTATTTCCTCCCTGTCCCAGTGTTCCTCAAGCACCCTCTTCTCTCTCTCTTCCTCCCCACCCCTCTTTTTTTTTAAACTGGGGGAGGGGAGAAGGAAGAGACTGTCTTTGATCTCAGTGGAGGAAAAAAGTCTGTTCTGTTCAGGCTTTTGGCTAACACAACAAACAGTGTTTAAAATTTAACTTTGCTTAATTAATTAGTAATTCTGTTTAATGCTGTCTGATCTCCCTCCAAAAGGTATTTTGAAGCTTGAGAAGGGAACATCAAAGGGAGCCGGGTGAAGATGGTCAAGTAATGCATTTAATCTGGCAGTTGCTGGGGGTGGAGCGATGCCAGGCTGCGGCGAATGCGGGAAGCATCATCTGGTAAACATAGCCCGCTCCTTGGCTCCTCTGCTCCCGTGCCAGGGTGCAAGGAGGGACCGGGAGCGGTTTCCAAAGAAAAGGAGCTCCACCCACTGCCCCCAGACTCATTTGAGCTGAGAACTGGCTTTGAGAAAGCAGTGTTGACATCTCCTTTCTTCCGTGGTGTGGCTGGGCAGGTTGTGTACTGCTCAAGGGTTCCCAGTCAAGCGGGTGAGCAGCAGGTGGAACCCAGCCTGTGCCCGGTGGATCAGGGTGCCCTGGTGGGGTGAAGGCTGCCTTCACCTAAAGCGCAGTTCACAAACCTTTCTGTGAAGGGCTCGGAGAGTACATATAGGGTGTCCCAAAAAATGTATACATACTTTATGTATACACGCTTTAACAGCTGGTAGCTCAATTTTGAAAATGAAATGCATTTTAATAAGCACTGCCTTTATAATTATTCAAAGTGTGTGTGCATTTGTTGGGACATCCTATATTTTGGACTCTGTGGACCATACAGTCTCTGTTGTGACTACTCAACCTCTGCCATCATAGAGTGAAGCAGCCACATGTCCCAATAAAACAGGTGGTGGGCTGGCTTTAGCTCACAGGGGCGTGGTTTGCCAGTCCTGCTCTGTGTCACCCCCCGGGTACTCCAGAGGCAAGTGACGGGCTTTGCATTTCTCCTACTCTGTCCCTTCTTTTCCTTCTCTTCTACTTTCTCCTGCTTTCCTTTCCTCTTTCAAATGAGTAGTATCTACTGTGGTTGCTGTGACTTGCAATTGAAGAGTGACCAGAGCCCCCCTGAAATTATGCCCCCCAAAAGATCATCTCTGGGAAAACAAATCGCTAGGCTGAACAGGAGTAAGAGACAGAGTGGGCTTGGAATCTGGTACCAAAGCCCATCTCAATAAAAGCATCATTCCCTCCTGAGGTTGGACCCCAGCAGCTGCGGTGAGCACCATTCTCCCTTCTCCAGCCTACCTGTGAGCCCAACAGTGGGTGCACGGATGGGTGGATACATATACATATGTATGAATGAGTGAGTGGTGGATGGGTGGATGAAAGGATGGCTGGATAGAAGGATGGCTGGATGGAAGGATGGGTGGAAGGATGGCTGGATGGAAGGATGGTTGGATGATAGATGGATGATGGATGGAGGGATGGGTAGGATGGGTGGATGGATAGATGGAATGGATGATGGCTGGATGGATAATAGATGGATGATGAACGGATGGTGGATGGATGGATGGAGGGAAGGAGGGAAGGCTGTTTTTTCTGCACAGGGATGGCTGGGGGTGGGTGATGGTTTGGCATTGTTTGGTTTCAGAGGGTCCATGTGGATGTAGAAGATGGTCCCTGATTTCCAACCCCTGACCCCTGGCCCCTGACCCTGGTATTGAGGTCCGATAGGCTTTCTGATAGATTCTCTGACACCTCTTCGGGCCCTTGGGCAGGGGACAGTAAAAGGGTGAAAGGCCATCTTTGGTGGGGCAAGGGGGTGCTGACTGTCCTTATTCCAGGTCCCTAGGGCCCCAGGACAGGATGGCTCCCTGTCCTACTACCCATCCGGGCCCAACCCCATGCTGGTAAGGGGCCCCCAGTGGGTGTCTGGGTAGTTTTCTGAGCTAGGATGGGATGAGGGACCTGCTGGTGAAGGCAGGACAATCCAGGCCACCCTGATCTTTGAAAAAGACACATGGAGCGGGAGAGGGGTGGTAGGGATGTTTTCCTCCTCCCTGGGAGAGAGAAAGGAGGAGAGGCAGGGAGGACCTGACAGAGGACAGGCTGTTTCTGTACAGTGGGAGGAGGGGGCTCCAGAGGAGAGAGCAGGGACAGAGGTTTCTTTTCTTTGGGTTTTATCAAGTGGAACTTGAAAGGCAACATTGAACCTGAAGGTGGTTTTCTGATAACTTCTCTTTGAACTTGAAGTTTGGTTTCGATAAGCCTGGCCGGCTTACATCTCCAGCCAGGACCTCTGCAGAGGGAGGCAGTGGCTTTGAAGATGGAGCTGGCCTTTGTTTTCCTGTCTTCTTTCTCTTCTCTGCAGCACCCAACCCTGCCCTCTGGGGTGGGGGGGTAGGGGGGTGAATAGAGAATGTTGCTGGTTGTGACAGCACTGTGTTGTCTCTGGGGGGCAGTGCTAGGTTGGGGGATCATGTGGATCTGGGCTGTCAGCTGGGACCATGGCTCAGCTACATCTTTTGCAAAGCCAGCGTTTATTGAGCACTTACCAGATTCAGGCCTCTGTGCTCAGTAGGCACTTTTCTCATTGCCCCCTCCCAACAGCCCTGTGAGGGAGAGACCATTCATCCCCGTTACAGATGAGGAGACTGAGACCCAGAGAAGCCAGGTGCCTGACCCCAGGTTGCACAGGTCAGTGGCAGTCAGGATATGAGAACAATGTGCCCCCTCAACCTGGGTACTCCAGCCAAGCTCAGCCTCACCCATTGGGAATGCTGGGTGCTTCTAAGGCTCAGAGCTTCACTTAGTGCTGAGGGTGAGGCCAACACTCCCCAACTTTCTCAGACAGGCCTCTAAACCTTCTTGCCTTCTTTTAAATGGGGTGACAGTGGTGCCTACGTCTCTGTGGCCTGGTAGAAGTGAACCATGGCAGTGGCAGTTCTGGCCCAGCAGGACACCAGATTTGGGCTGGAGGAATCGGGGTGCCCAGGCTGTATGCTTGGCTGTCTTTGCATCATGGACCAATTGCCCGCCTGACTCCCCTGGGCTCACCATGGCACTGAAGGGGACACCACCTGGCCATTGAGGAGGAGCAGGGAGGAAAGGACTTGGTTGGATCCACTGTCCCAGAAACAGTCAGCGTCAGTGACNACCTGGCCGTTGAGGAGGAGCAGGGAGGAAAGGACTTGGTTGGATCCACTGTCCCAGAAACGGTCAGCGTCAGTGACCTTNACTGAAGGGGACACCACCTGGCCATTGAGGAGGAGCAGGGAGGAAAGGACTTGGTTGGATCCACTGTCCCAGAAACAGTCAGCGTCAGTGACCTCTGACCCTGAGGATGCCCAGTGCCCTCACCCTGGGTCCCCAGCCAGAGCCCCTGACAGCTCTAGGGAGTTGTTGCCTTGCTATGGGAGCATTGCAGGCTGGGAGCTCCCTGCACCCTGCTGGCTGTGCAGAGAAGGAAGGAGGCACCCGGGCATGGCTGCCCTGACCCTCAGGCCCAGCCAGGGTTGGGGGGTAGCTGTAGACACAGCCAGTCATATCAGTTGCCGCATGGCCTTCCTGTCCCCACCTGTCTGTACGGGTGACTGGGAGCATCCTTGTCTTCAGCCCTCCTTCCCTGTCCTGCTCGCACCCTGGGCTACCTGTTTTAGAAATGATGCTTTTGTGTCCTTTTGTATTTTAAGGAAACACAGCTACCGACTCTGCTGATTCCCCAAAGATTACATGGAGAGGGGGACATTTGTCCTCGAGTAAAGCTGGGACCCTGCCTGCTGGGCCTGGGCCCTGTGCTCAGTCATAGCTCGCTGAGCCCACATAGGAACCCTCCATTTTACAGCTGGGGAAGCTGAGCCCTGGGCCACATATCGTGTCAGGAGGCTCAGAACCCAAGCTGAGAGTTTCCTCTGCCCAGGCTGGCCGAGAGGCACCAGGCCCGCTGAGCCAAGCCAGAAGCAGCGTGGAGCAGCAGCCTAGCACGAGTCAGCCTGCTTGGGTTCAAATCCCAGCCCTGTCGTGTACCAGCAAAGCAGTTAGCCTCTCTGAGCCTCACTTTTCCCATCTGGAAAGTGGACCTAATAATAGTCTCTGCCTCCCAGGGTTGCGGTGAGGACTGAGTAGTCAACGGACAGCCGGTGTTTAGTCAGCACTGTGTTGGGCCTGGTGCTGTGAGAGGTAAAACAGGACAATAAATCACAGTCTCGGGGTGGCTGAG